GCGAGCGCAGGGATGCTCGGTAAGCCATCTAAGTAAGTATGAGTAAGTAGGTAAGTGGATGGCTATTGGATGGCTATATACATAAGTAAGTAGTGATCAAGTTAGTAAGTGTACACACATATAGTGAGCGCAGCCCACCTGCGAGGCGATAATGACGTCAAAGGCGCGGCACCCGCCGAGCCGGCCCTCCTCTTGCGCCTGCTGCGAGGGTCTCGCGCCCCAAGCCAGGTGCGCCGCCTCCACTCGTGCGTGGCTTGGCGCGTGGCGGGCAGCGTTGTCCGTGCACAGTGCGACCTCAGGCACGTCGCCATCTGTGATCACAACATGGCTCGCGGTCTGAGCAGCGATGAGGCCAACCAAGCCGCAGCCCGCCCCCAGCTCCAGTACCGTCCGCCCTACAAGGCGGTCCAAGTTGAGCGCCACGGTCGCAGGCATGACCATCGACCAGAGGATGTCGCACCCGCCCTCCCTCCAGCCGGTCACGGCCTGGTGCAGGCGGTGGCTCCCGGTCTCAAACTCAAACTCGGCCTCCTCGTAGTCGCCAGGAAGGGCAAATAGTGGCGGAACGTACTCGTCCTTGCCCACCTCGTATGAGGATGGCTGGAGGCCCACAAGAGGCGCGGGATCATCGGCCATTAGTGATATTTAATTATACCAAAAGGAGGGCTACACGACGCCCTCTACGCTGGGGTGCCGGCGCCCTACTGGGCGCCCCCCGCTCCCTTCCCCTCAGAGCCCCCCATCCCACTAGCATTCCCCCGCGGTCCCTCGCGGTCGCGCGACGCCGCACCAATGGCGCGCTGTGCCTCGTCCGCGAGCGCCACCCAGAGCTGCACCGACAGTCGCTGCAGCGCAAACGGCATCCATTCGCGCGCCGACCACGACGTCTGGTCGTACTGCCACCACGTGAGCTTCCGGCCCGCCACCTCAGCCACCCGCATCAGCAGCTCCTCCACCCCCGCGCTCATTGCGCCGAACTCCTCGAAGAGCAACGCCTCCACATGGCACTTCCCCTCTGCGTCCGTGTACTGGCCCTTGACAGCCTCAACCGTCCCGGTCCCCGTCCGCGGATCCCACCGTCCCACCCTCCCACCCCTGTCCCCGCCCTCCACGCCCAGAACCGTCTCGCGGGCGCGTGGCAGCGTGTTGCCGCAAGCGACGAACGCCCCCATGCGCCCCGCCCCCGAGGGGTCCGACGGCACACCGGCAAAGATCTTCGTGTCGCCGATGCATGGCAGGTCCCCAATCACGCCCTGGTAAATGTACAAGTCCGTCCTCGTAGTGCTGTGCTCGCAGTGAAACTCGTGCTCCACAGCGCCGCGCCCCAGCTTGCCCCGCAGCAGCTCGACGAGGTCCAGGAGGACCTCCTTGTGCCGCGTCTGGTGGCCCGCCGCGCCGTCGTTCTGCGCCACGTCGCCGAGGGCGTCAAAGGGCAGACCGTGCTGGCTGTAGATGCCGTCCGCCATAACGTCCGTCATCATCGACAGGTGCAATCCGAAGCGGCGCTGCAGCGCGAAGCGCAGCACGTACGAGGGCAGACGGAAGTGCGCGCGGGTCGGGATCGCGCTCAAGAACGCGCCCGCGCCGAACTGGCTGACCGAGACAAACCGCACCTGCTCCCTCCTCCCTGCGCGGCCCGCCGCCGCATGCATGTCCCTCCAGGCCGAATGGTGAATCGTCGCGGAGTATCGGCGCTGAGCGTTGGGGAAGATCTGCGCGAGCTCCATT